CTAATTTTGAACCATAATTGCAGCATGACTGTATGTAGGTGTGCTAAATGAGAACACGCAGAGACAAAACATTTTGAATATCTAACACCGTTCGTATATTTACGCCTATCCATGCATGTTTGTGTGTGTGTGTGTGTGTGTGTGTGTGTGTGTGTGTGTGTGTGTGTGTGTGTGTGTGTGTGTCTAAAGGCAGCTACGGTGGTGGTGGCTTCCTGGGGAATTGAAATTAATGAGTGTAATCAGAAGCGAACAGCGAGCCAGGCAAGGGCAATTAATACAAGCAAGGCGAGCAGAGCTACTGGTTTGCTCGGCCAGGCATGGCTGCAGCCGAAGAGATGGAGGATTAAGATGCAGCCGCAGACAAACTGCACAGCTTTTCCACACGCAGCAGATGTCCATGGAGCTGGGAGCCTGGCATGGACACGCATCCCCCAACCGGCCACTCGGTCAGCCCGGCCCAATACGAGCTGACAACCTCCTGGCAGCACTCTGATAACACCATCTTCTCTGTTTGGTTCGAGAGCCAAGGGAAGGCCCTCAGCGGGGCCCTTGCACTGCATACTGAAGGGAATCAGTGCAAAGCTGCACAGTGGAGCCACTATGTGTGAGAGAAGGAGAGGGACATAAAGAGATAAAGAGAGATGGGAGGGAGGGTATTGTGTTGTGAGATCAACTCAAGTACATCTCAATGTGAGGGACATTTTTGTTCTCCATCCATGTTTTCCTGATTGAAACATCCTTGGCTGGTGCATTCACCTCAAACATGCATATTTGCCTCAGTATAAATACAAACTTTGGACTCAGCTGCCTCCAGGAACGTCTCTGCTTGTTGTTTTCTTCAATTGACGCTAAGCGAGAGTGTCACCGCCCAGGATCTTTTCACTCAGCCCCTCGCTTTGTTGCCTTGAATGGCGTTTGTTCCCCCGGCGGTCTCCAGTTTCCAGTATTTACATGAGATAATGATGCATGTGTAAGGATACACCGCCAGGCCAGGAGAGGGGCTGATATGAACTGTGACGGCTGCCTCCTCGGTCCAAACCAATTTGTGTTGAAACAGAACAATGAAGTCAGCTCGGACATCGGGGAGTGAAATGAAGATTGATGCTTTAGGGGAGATCTGTGATGCACACTGACTGTAAAGGCTCAGGCCCATTCCCAACAGGTTACGTAAGGTCAAACCAACATGAGGCCAAACCTCATTCTACAGATGCCACAATGTTGTTGAACTCATTACCTCTCTGTGTAATGTCCTTAATATGCAAATGGTATCACTTTGCTTGCATATTGAGTCTAAGTAGACCTTTTCAGGAAACAACCACTACTTTATGGCTAGAGTTGACCGTACAAGAGGTTTTTCTCTTTGAATAATGAAATAGATGTCGGGACACTCAAAACATCAATAATGTTGTTGGGATCAACTTAAAATGTACGGATAATTAACTTTTCTCAAATGAAAGCTCTAGAGCAATTCAAATTGCAATAAATAAAAAGTGCAATAAGCCAAAGAAGTTTGTCGCCCTATAATCAAAACAAATAATGAAATCCTAACCCCTCCTGAGCAAACAGAACGTGTGAGGTTGGAGTATTGGGGATTGTGGCTTTAACACCAACGCCAAACTCTGTTGACCTCATTCCCCCCTCCTCCTCCAGTTATGTGGTTGTTTCTGTGCAGTGTACTGGTTTATGAAACACTGTTGGGTTGGAGGGCAAGTCCAACAAAAATGACAACTACGTCAAACTGTGATTGAATTCTCCTCCAGCATGTTTTGTCAGCGGGAGAAATATCATGGCCTATTGATTGCGTCCCATTCCCAATCATAAATCATTTTCTTTATTGTCCAGAGAATGCAGACCGCTGAGAGTATTGTGTAAAAATGGTCTCTGACACCTTCACGGGTACAGATAAATTACTGACACTTCAATAACTTGTGAAATACGTGCTCTGATGCCTATGAAAGACAACAGTTTAACGGGTCTCTCTTCTAGAACCCCATTACTTTAATGGAGGACAATTCAAAAATGGAAAAATGTGCGGTTTTCCTCGTGGCATTGGCTGGATAGATATTGCCTGGTAACATCAGATTGCTCTGAGGAATTGATGAGTTTCCTCAAGTAATAGTGTTAAAAGGATTTTTTTCACCCCACTCTTCTCTTGGCCCGGGATCAAAGTCTGTCTTCTCTCTGGTGCAGCTTGTCTGCCCTCTTCTGGCCTCATGTCGCCATGAGGTCAAATCAAATTGACGGATCATTGAGCAAAATAAATGAAATATTAACATGGTACTTCTTGTATAAATCCAAAATCACATAATGACACAAGTTACTTCAAAAAGACCCAAACAGTACGGGCACATTTATGAAATGATTGAGTAAATGTCTATTTTACAAGCTGGAGGTGTATATAGAGAATGGGACATGCATGTGTTATTCTAGCCACTCAGATCATTTCTATTAATAAACACTATAAAGATGAGACTCATTTTGCATAATACCAGTTCAAGGACTCCTTCAACTCGCTGAGAAAATCCTGGGTGTCCCCACGCTCCACTTTGAGAATTACTGCTGTAGACATTTAAAAAAAATGCACTTTGGCATTAATGGATGTGTAAAACCATCAGATTGTCACACAGTGAAAAATGGCTGTTGCGTGAAGCGTTTAATAAAGTAATGTTTGAAACCTAATGAAGCAGTTTCTATGAGCAAACCCAACATCCAATCAGTCACAATCAAAGTAAAAGGTGGGGAAAAATGGATTGACAATTAAAGCAGCCGTCTCCATGGTTCACCAGCTATTTCAAAGAGCCATGCATCGAAGTTTTCGCATGTTTCTTTATGAGAAACACACTTCCTATTAGAGGAGGGGAAAGAAAATGTAAGAGGAAAAAAAAGCTTTCGGAGTCAAAACCATCACCAGACGCCACTGTAACGGTATTTTTGAACCCATGCGTCAGAGCTGCGCCCGTGGCCAAACCGCTTATTAAAACTCAGAAAAGCCAAGTGCCATAAAGACAGAAGGCGAGCAGCTTGTTATTATTCTTTCTGAGAGGTGAACAGGCTGAGATCAATGGCTGCAGTGGTTTCCCCTCACCACAACTATGGCCCAGTAAAGCACAAAGAGCCATGCGGCTCCGACCCATACAGTCACAGATATTAAGTATTCCAGGAGCCTTTGAGAACAGCTGCCAAGAATAATTTCCCACATGTAACATTTCCCACCAAAGCCACAGAGTCAGAACGGCATATTCTATACTCACCAGACCCCATGTGCCCTGCCGGGGATGGCAGAGTAATCAATGGAAAACCAGATCCACTTCACCAATAAGGTCTTCATTAGGACCTTATGAAATGTATTATTTTTGTCCAATTAATAGGACATATGAGCATATCAAAGAAAATTGTGTTTTGCACAGGTAAATAAAAGTACCAGTCAATCAGAAAGCATAAGCTGTTAAAGGGATATATATTGTCTTTTTAAAGCTGAGTCTTTTCAGGCTCCCATCGGGTGTTACCATAGACTGTATGGGTGTTGCTCAGCTGTTGCTCGGCAACTCATGATCTGTGTTAATGATGAGAAGGCCAGATCCCCTCCTCCCTCCTGACTCTTACCCTGTCACCCTGATATATTTGGTATTGGTACTGAGTGCCAATGAGGCTGAACCTGCTGCTGTCAGGGATGCAATGAGGACGGACTTGATTTCTTTCTCACTTTTTCAAGGCAGAAGTTTCGCTGTTTCCAAATTGTAACAAAGAGTGTAACAAATGGTTTGCGTGTCATATGCATTTTGGCCATGTAAGATGTTAATCAAATATAACAGATCCTGTAATCAAACCTAACAGCATGGAGAGGGTCACATTTATGGATATTGAAAACTCGCACAAAAACGTGCCCTTTATCATCGGGGGTTGGTGACAGACTTTGGTTTGGACACAATGTATGTTTTGGAAGAAGTCCTTTACTTAAGTAAAAGCAAACATATAATGGGCTCAAAATACTCAATCACAAGTTAAAGACCTGAATAGAAAATGCTCTTAGTAGACATACAGAAGGATAATCAGCAGAAATTAACTCCAAGTACCAAAAGTAAATGATGAAAAATATTGATTTATGTTGTCAATGTTGAGCCAATTGAATTTTTTTTAAATACTGGGTACATCGGCAGTAAAGTACTACATCATATTTTATTAGCATATCATGTGTTTTAATAGTAAGTACAAAGTAGCTAGTGTTCAATAAATGTATTGGTATTAAAGTAAAATAATATTTCCCTACAAAATGTAGTTGAGTATATATATATATATATATATGTACTTTGTCACTGCACAATGTACATATGCTTGTCCTCTGCTGGTCTATGAGGCATGGAAGTCCCAAATATGAAACACAAATGTGACAAAAATGCATCTACTCATACATTCCAACTATGATAATCAGAAAACATCTTTCTTCGCAGTGAAATACTGTAAGGATCACATCTGTGAGAGGAGTTTCGACTTGAGAAAAGCAACACGGATCTGCTCATGTGGATAATACTTGGGGAAATTATATGATTATACCTTCAATGCAGCATCAGTCTGAGCTGCGGGACTGCACAGCATCTGGCCTCCGTGTGAACAAGGGAAGTAACTCAAAGTAATCCTCGTTGTGTTTAGGTTGAGGCTGAATGGGACTTACATTCATCCGTCAAATGTTGTGCCAAATTACACTGTGCCCCGGGATGAATAGAACGAGAACAAAAACATAACAACTAGGCTGCTATTCTCCCAACAGCTGTGCACTATGCTATAAAAATGTGAAATGGAGTAAGACTGATATGCTTTTCCATGCCACTACTGATAATCACAGGATACTTCACTGCCACTTATTGCCACAATGCAGTGAATCAGCAATAGTGTCATCATCAAGGAAACATCACAAAACTGTTTGTATACTGTGTGTACAAAAAGTGAGAATCACTTAAAACCTGCAGAAAGAGAAATAACTGCCCGGATACTAGACATTGAGATATACCTACATTTATTTATTTTGATACATATATACAAAAGCCCATTCATGTCTGTATTTACATTGTATTTTAAGTAAGGCAAAAGATGAAAAAGCAAAACGTTAAAAGTACAGTATAAAGTTAAATAAAATGTTTCCACAACAACAAGCAGCAAACTTATATTTTCTGGAAAGCCGAAAACAATATTTGTTTTCTCAAGTTTTTTTCCTGTGTTCATGTTACATCAACAATATGCCGAGTAGATTTAGATGAAACAGCGAGAACCTAACCCTACATCCTGACATGTTAAAAATCAACAAATAAAGTGTCTCATCAACTGTAGAGAAGTTGCAATTCAGTGGAGTTGTAAGTCAAGGCGGGCGCTGCCGTCTCTGCACCCCCCAGAGAGTCCTGCCCTCTGATCTTCAGGTTGACGAACTTGATCTTCCAGCTGTTGTTCTCCAGCGGGGAGCGGATGAGGCCAAATATTTGCTCAAACACGCCCAGGCAAGCTCCGTCTCTGTGGATGGTCCCGGCTACTGCCACCAGCACCAGGCCGTGGGGGGAGGCCAGGGTCCTGAGGCCCTGGGGCTCCAGGTTGGGGCTGAGGAGGAGCTGCTCGTCCCGGGTCAGAGCCAGGAGACGCAGGCTGACCAGCTCAGCCCCCAGGAAATCCTCCATCTGCTCGCTGCCAGCTCTGAGAACAGAGACACAGCGATGTCATCACTGTTTAGCTTTTGGGTTATTTTCCCAAAATGTATAGTGAGTGCTTTAGTTCAAGCCTTTGTGTGTGAAAGGTGCTTATCATATCTCACAAATCATTCTGATGGTCATTTTGTATGCAGAAAAGTTGAAGACAATTGGTTCAGTTGGTCCTACCCAAAATAAATAACTGATTTGAACATTGAGAGTCCAACAAACCACATATCATTATAAGAAAAAGATATATTGCAATACACTTTCCAAATTCTGATTATGTTTTTAAGTCTTTTTTAAGACCTACCATTCCAATTGTCTTTCTAAAAAACATAATTGACAGCAACCACAAACATTTTATAACTTTTTCTTGAATGGAAAATTCAATTGTATGTTACATTCTTTGAAATAAACCTCTATGAATCCTATCTATTTACAAGAATGTAAAGGTATGCATAATATAATAACTTGAGGCGTCCTCCTGTCTGCCCCACATTACCTGACAGAGGAAGGATTCTGTGTGTGTGTGTGTGTGTGTGTGTGTGTGTGTGTGTGTGTGTGTGTGTGTGTGTGTGTGTGTGTGTGTGTGTGTGTGTGTGTGTGTGTGTGTGTGTGTGTGTCTGCTATGTTACTGTTAGCACTGTGGGGGAAACTCCTGAAGCAATAGGAGTCAGGACTCAGAGAGACACGAGGAGAGCTGGAGCTTTGATGGCAAACACTGACGGTTTATTTGGAGCTTCGGCCGGAGAATACACAAGACATGTCACGGGCCACGATTTGACCACACGGTCGAGATGCCACAATCAATTCTGAAGAACCCTCCAGTAGCTCGAGGTTTTAACTAGTTCACAGTGTAATAATCAATATTCTTCAATAGATAAACTAAACAGCTGAGGGCACTGAATCACAGTTGTTGTGGCTTATGGCTCGGGGTCATCTACACCCCGAGGTGGATGTGTTCCAGGTGTCCCAAACCAATAACGATCTCTGACAGAGAGCTGTCCGGTGATAAACTGGTAACATCAACAATATGCTAGGGCAGCCCTCCTTAAGGGAGATAGCATTCTGCCCAAGGCTGGGCATCTGCGTCAGAGGGCGAAAGATGACATGCAGGGGAAATTGCAAGTGCCACTGTGTTTACGATATAAAACCATTTTAAGCCAGGTGTGTACATTTGAACAGCACATATATATATGAGATTGAATAGCCGGTCACCATAATGTCAGACTATCTGACAACCCTGACATTTTGCTTGGTGAATCTCTAAGAGTAGCTTAATTTCGATGTACTTACTGTTAATGGCATTCTTACCTGGAGAGAAGGCATAGCTTCGCATCAGGCCAGAAGTGTTTTGGTCCCCAGTCCTGAGGCGGCTGGCCCAGAGAGGGGTTCTGGCTGTTTAAGAGTGGGAAAAACCACTGGCAGAACTGCTGGCCGAGCACCAGCGGGTCAAAGCCCACCTCAGCCTTCACGATATCTGTGTCTGATGTCAGTCTCTGTTTGGTGTCATCTGTTTCTCCTGGAAGGCTTTGGTCAACCCCAGCCTTAAAGAAAAGAGAAGGGAATCATTATGGCATACTTAAAAAAACATTTTAGTACATCTTTCAATAATCTGTGCTGTCAATCGCCTTATTATTATGTTATCAACCATGTCAACATATCAGTGAGGGTAAACTGACCCTGTCCCTACCTTCCCAGAAGACCAGAGCTCCAGGGTCCTTTTCACCAGCTTGTTTTTCTCGCTGTTTGGGGGCATCACCACACCTTCATTGGCAAGGTATTTAAATATGAGGTCGCGATGAACCTTCTTCCTTTTCAGGAACTCTTCAGCATTTTTAGTAAAGGTGATAATTGCTCCAATGGCCTCTATACAAACATATGAAGAAAAGGCACATGGATGATGTTATTATTTGAACATAATGTGTTCTTTTGGTATACGAAAAAACGCACGAGCAGTCCCTGGCGTCAGTTCATGCACATTTTTATTTTCTGAACTAATGTCATGACTCATGTTAGTTCATGTCAGAGACATTTATAGCTGACAAAATAGCCCCACCAAGTCTGTGGCACGAAAATATAATTTAAATAATATAAAATATATGTTAAACATTGACTTGTTCAGTCTGTTGGCAAAAGGTTGCCATAAGGCAATTGATTGTAGTTGATACTAGTATGCTAGCTACCTTGCTACTTGTTATCTGGTACAACGTTACCTGTCACATTCTCCACAACTATCAGCTTGTTCGTCACTGTGTCACTGAGTGAGAATACATCGTCTTTTGACAGAGACTGCAGTAACTTTGTACATCCAGCTCGTTCTGTTTCTGACAGTCCAGACATTTTCGACGACACTGCATAACGAAACTTAAGATCCTTTTCCGTCTATTTGTGTCCTTCTAGAAAAGTGTTCGTAAAGAAACATGAATGAGTGGGAAAACGTTCCGGAAAAAGCCAAGCTGCTTTCAGGACTATAGGAATTATTGCTTCTATGGTTAACCCTAATCCTAAATACACATGAACAACAACCCGTAATACTTGGTTCTACTATCTGAAGAAAATCATCAGAAGTTATGTGACCAACATGTTTTTAAGGATTAACTAGAATTTCATAGATTATTTTACATTTCAAAGCAGTCCTTTTTTTGTCCGATAATAAATTACATGTATGGTTGTATATGCCATGTTAGAAGGGGACCTTTTAATTAGAACAAAATGCAGAATTCAGTTCACAGATACAACAACCTGGTGCTAGGTTTTAAACATGTGATTGCTTTTTTGTATTGGTAATTTAGGTTTTGGATGTTTTTATTTATAGTCATTCGTATTTACGAGGAGTACATGAAGGCATCACAGGACAAGATAGCTAGCTAAATAAAAGCAGCTAGCCTGCGCAATGAAGATGTTCTGCCAGTGCAGCTGTGTGGAAATACATCTGCAAGATAAGCGACCTCTCAGTTGGCGACACACATAGCATTTTAATTCACAGGAAAGAAGAACGCCACTGCACGATTTAAAACTGTACTGCCGAATAACGAAAGGGAGTAAATCGCGTAAAGGTAACGTACCATTATGTTTTGATAATAGATCCACATTAGCCTATTTAACCTTTCGCCCCTGCATAGTTTAGCTTGTATACACATACCTGTATCGTTAAATGTTGTTTATCGTATGCCATTAAACGACTTGTGTAATGATTTAATCACTGTTGATATTATCGCTTCTTAGGTATTGGAGCAAACGCCGTATCCAGTGATCCAGTGCCAAACTCCATAAGAAACTTGCAAATGTAAAGTAACTTTAGCATTGCTCGTCAGTAACCCTTTACAACCACTAAAATGTACAATTTTTCTATAACAATACGTTTTATTTTACAATTCGGGATATTGATATAACTTTAGTTTGAGTTGATTTTTTGTTTTAAAGGCTTAGTTAATGTGCATTGATCTTTTATCAACATACTGAATAAGGTATTATTACTGTATGAAGCTGATATACAGGCGGGCGGGAACATTCGTTAGTAGTAAATCAATTATAAAATAAGAACATGTTGTGGAGTCAATGCTTGTGGACTGTTTTATGCAAATGTTATGTTCTCACTTGCATATTGTTTTTGGAAGCATTTATTTTGTTAAGAAATCAGGACATGGAATTTGACCATGTTTTCAACACCAGGCGTGGTATTGATTGATAAGCCTGACAGGCTGATATTGCCTAACTGCTGCCCTAAAACTCTGTCACAATGAGGAACTGTTTTATTGGCTTACTTCAGTTTCTATAATTTCACATCGTTGAAATACACATCACAGTGGCCTGCTTTCAACAGAAGGAAATGTTCTGAAATGAGCTAAGAGGAAATTGCTTAAGTCATTTCCCAAATGATGCAAACACATTTCCTCAAACCAGAGTAATAAAGAAACTGGTTTAAATCTCTCAACTGGCCAACATAACTCAACATACAGTACTATTATAAATTGTCGAAAAAAGTAACTTCTTTCCTTTAGTCATTTGCAAAATAACTCAGAAAACAGTGTCCTTCCTGAGAAAGCACAAATTAAACAAGAAGAAAGAGAGAAATACAAGTCTGTAAACAGATGGAACAGATATGAAATAACTAGAGAATGAAATTCCTGAAGAAATTGCTATTGGGAATGCTTTATGCTGAAAATCTGACGCTAAACTGCTATGCTGAAATGTAATGTGTAAGAAGAAAGTGAATAATTTAGATTGAAATGATACATGAACACTGGGGGCTTGAATGTGTGATGAGAGAAGAAAAGAAAGTAAAAAGGCTTGGAAAAGCAG